TAGCCGCGACTTCGGCCGTGATGGCCCTAGCCGTGACTATGGCCGCGATGGACCTAGCCGCGACTTTAGCCGAGATGGCCCCAGCCGTGATTTTGGCCGCGATGGACCAAGCCGCGATTTCGGTGGACGCGACGGCCCAAGCCGATATGGAGATCGTGAAGGTGGTGCTCCCCGTCGATTCAGTGACCGCAACAGCGGTGTCGACGATGCAGCCCGTCGGTTTGGTTTCGGTGATCGCCGAGACGATGGACCTTCTCGCCGCGATGGTTCGTTCCGTCGGGACGGACCTCCGGCACGTGCCCCTGAGGGTGGCCGGTGGTAACCACACCACTTTCTTGCATCCTCCTCCCATATTTAATAGATCAATGTGATGTTAAATATGTCCATCGTGCCATGTCTCCGCCGCCTCGCGCTGGACATGGCGCGCCGCGCCACCGACCCGTCGCCGCAACCAGATTGCGCGATGAGTAACAAACCCGACCGTTTCATTGAAGTAACTCTATTTGGCGGATTTCACAAAAAGAGGCCTCGTTTCCATCACTATTTTTCACAAAACGTGACTGAATAGAGGCCGTGTTCGCACCCTGTGATGTATTCACACACTATTTCGGGTATTCAAGGATTCGTCCTCGAGAGAATTCTGTGTCAACCAATCGAAAGCACCAGAATCGAAATCTTTCAGTTATTTTAGCCAATGAAACACTGAGATGAGACGAACTCTGAACTGGGCCATTCTCCGTTAACAATTCGGTCGTCCATGACGGTGCGCAAGCGGAGCTTGGACCTGGTCGATGGCAACGACAGAGCCTTCCACCGACACCACGAGTCCATCCGCGTGGAGGGTCGCCGCGGCCACTTCAACGACATCTACATCTCGATCATTCCGCACGCTACCGAGAACGTCGTGTTCTTCCCTGGCGACGTGCAACATTTCGATCATGTCATGCGACGCGGCACGTTCAAATCGTTCGCCGCGTACTCGTACGAGTCCATGTGTGACCACTACATTCGGCGATTTCCGTGTGCGAACGTGTGGATCATCAAGCCTCGCATGCACGCGAAAGGTGTTAGCTGCTACGACAACTTTCTCGACAACACAGACGGTGAACCGTCGAGCTGTACGTTCCGCGACACCATAGCTTCCATGCTTTGTAGTCTCATCCGTGCTGCCACGCGCAGACTTGATAGATGGATTTGCTTTCTTGCAACTCCAACTGCTCTTCGAGCACACATCCGCGCTCTTCCAAGGTAGGACGACTGCAACGTTGCCGACACCTTACTGCGATTCATCACAGCACCAGGTCGACAACTCACATGGGATCTTCCGCTGCATCTCCTTGGATTCAGTCGCGGAGCGATCGTGTTGAATCAATTGATCACTGAACTCGGGTCCTTGCTGCACTTGTCCACATCCCCCACTCAAGTCGACACGTCACTGGCAGGTCCGCAGCGCTCTTTCTCGTGTATGCAGCGTGACTGTCGTGTAGAGGTCGTGGCCGAATGCGGGTCGATATCGGCGTTCTTTGAACGCGTCGAGAGCATCGAGTGGATTGACGGCGGATGCAACATCGAATCGATGACATTTCCCACCAACGAGTCGGCACTCATGCTGCTCAACTCCTTTCAGTACGTCCCTTGTCTTCAATCGCGGCACCCCTCCAACGGTATGTGCCATAGACATATCCAGCTGCGCGTGCTTACTACGCCGTACCACATGAAGTCGCCACTGCGGCCATGGTACAACTCCGATCTCGCACTCTTTCAACGGGCATGTCCACACGCCCAAGTAATCTCGTACGTGTGTCGGATGTTTGGTAGTTTGATTCCTCATCGTCGACTAGGTGCTTCATGGACGATTCGCCGTCGCTGCAGAATCACTTTGACGTGCTCTTTGTTCGGTAATGACGTCGACATCCAACGTATTTATTTTCGCCGCATATGAGGAGGCGCTTGGCGAATGCGGTGTGGTTGGAAGGGCCACGAGAGACGTTCTGTGCGTCAAGGCAGGCCACGTCGGCGGCATGACCGACGTCCGAGCATGTCTCTCTCGTTTGTCGGGGATCTTCATGGACCAGATTCAGTGATTCGAAAGTTATGACCTCGGCAGTGACAAGGACTCAGCAATGGAAAAACGCCCCCGCCAACATCACGACCTAGAGGCACTTTCTGCCACAGTTGAGATCGATGTACCTTTCCGCTCTGTACACATCGTGCGTTGTCGAAGCATTTGTCGGAACGACCGACTCCTTCACGACGTGTGAAGGTATATGTGAAGGCATCGGATCATCCTTGGCTGCAAGTCTCGCCATGTGAGCGCTAAAGTATCCCTACCACTTTCTATCCTGCTTAGATCCCGTTCCATAGTCCTCAGTCCACATGAATCGCCCTCGGTTGCAAGCAGCGCATAATTGTTCTTGATGTCATATATATTAGCGGCCACATTCATTAGGTCGAGCTGCATTATGGGTGCATATTCTGCATGCGCTTGCGCGCCACGAAAACGCCGACAATGGTCAAGACAACCGTCGCGACCCCCGTGGCAGCTCCGACGACGACCCACGTCATCATGTTGGCGCCGGCAAAGGTCAGACTGCCACCGCCGTCCACTGTTACATTCGCGGCAGGGCCAGCCGACGCTCCTTGGACTCGAATCGGAAAAACATTCAAGCCACAGTTGAGCCCGTCATCCATCTTGAGCCACATGTACCCGCTGAGGCCCCAGTCGACGTCGTACGAATTCTTGAGAATCCAGTAGTTGCCGTCAGCTGAGCTTCCGTAGCCCACAAGCAAGAGGGCATGGTCAATCTGGTCGGCGCTCGTGATCGAACCACACACGTATAGGCCAGCCTTGTACTGTTTGAACGAGCCTTTCGCATTCACTGCGACAGCCAACGGTCCTTGCTGCAGCGCGCGCTTGAGGAGGACGATCGGGTCCTTGGTGTCGGCACAAGACGACGCGTCTAGAGCAGGCGCCCAGCCTGAGATGTGCGCCGCCGCGTTGGCGGCCGGACGTGTAGTCGAGCACGTATTGAGGGGGTTGACAGAGCTGTTCGTGCTGTTGGTCTTGATGGTCGAAGTGGGCGACCCAGGTTGGACTGGGCCGCCGGTCGACGACGCGATGCCTGCATCCGAGTACGGCCAGTCGATGCGGGTCGCCAAGTTTTTGATCTTGTTGGCGGCGTCGCTTAGTGCGATGTGCGTCATGCCGCCCGAGCACTACCGATGGACTTGAGGAAGGGCACACGACGACAAGAGTACACGCTTACCCCGTTGTTCTTCGAGTCCCACTTCATGGTTGGCTCCAGCCAAGTTGGTATGTTGCCGCTCTTGGCAAAGCAGTACGTGTATGTGCGGACTTCGGCGGTCGTGCTGCACGACAAGAGCTGTTGCGACGACAGTGACACGGGGACATTCTTGGTCGTGTAGGATACCGCAGTCTCGATGAGATCCGTCGCGGCAAACGCCCAGCACGACCCACACAGCTTCTGACTCTTGACTTCAGAGCATACCGATCGCTTCTCGGGGTTGTTTTCGGTGCACCAGTTCAACGTGGCGGGAAGCGGGGCGCCACCAACAGCTGTTGACACGGCCGTGGACGCTTGGAGGCGGCGATCCACATCTTTGCCCTGCATGTTGACCAATACCGCGTCCATGGGGTTGCCCAGCGCAGAGGCGTCTTCGTACAAGTGTCGCGCGTTCAAACCGAGCTTTACTGTCATGTCATGGTTCAAGGCGTTCGCATGTGTGTACACGGCTATGCAGCGCACAACGTGATCTTAGGCAAGATGAAGCCCCGTACCTTCGATGTACTGGATGTGAGTCTGCAGGTTGCGCTTCGCCGTAGCGTAGTCGTCGCCGTGGTGGTACGTAATGAGCATGTCGTATAACATCCGTTGATCGTTGACGAGTTCGTTCTGCTTGCCCATCCACAGACATCCTCCAGTCGAGGTGCACTCAACAAGGGTGCCAAATGATGCCGATGACGCGGCCACGATTCCAATGGCGGCGCCGAGGAACGACAGCGCATGGACCATCGTGTTCGCCACGTTCCACCGTCGTCCTCAAGCAGAAATGCCTCGTGCCTCCCTTGTTACTTCCACCTTTATCCGGACCATGGCAAGCCCTATACAAAAATTAGGTTTTTATCCGGAATCTTTGCCTCACTCTTCTTTTTTAATTTTTGAATTCAACTGGGTATTTGTATCTATATCTATAAAAGAACAGGTGTGTCTGTCGTGTGTGTCGCTCCCAGCCTTTTCATTGGATCAAATCATGACCTCCTTCTCGCGGATTGGCTACATTTTCGATTTCGCCGTTTCCATTGGCTAAAATTCAACGTCATAAAATAAACAAAAACAAAAAAATTGGTCTCCCGGTTATCGACCAATCAGAGCTCACATTGCCCGATTTTCTGCATGTCGCCATCGGCAAGGCGGCCATTTGGCGGATGAGTCGGCGGAGATCGGAGCGGATTTCCGCGCTACGTAGCGGCCAGGGGAAAAACCAGTGCGCAAGGATAGCGCAGTCATAGAGAAACACACACATGCAAGTAGATTCTATGTAACTACAATACAAGGGGAGATATCCACGATTCCCCACCGACCACAGGTGGCGGCATGGCGGAGGTGTCGGCG